TCCCCCCGGGTGTAGCTACAGCTCTCCCCTGTGCTCAGGGTCCCTGGAGTCCCTCCAGGTGTAGCTACAGCTCTCCAGTGTGCCTCCATGGGCATTGGGCCATTTCCCTGTGCTATCTCTAGGATAAATCTAGGATTTAGAACACATTCAATCCAGAAACCTTATTATGTTTTCCATTACACCTGCCAAGGCACTATTTCTAGGTGAGGTTCTGGGGGCAGGAACTGAATATGCCCTTATGGGAGACACAATCATACCAGAGACATCCTCCTCCCTCTACCCATGGCCGGCACCTCAGCCGCCCAGTGGCTGATTCCACACTACCCCTCTACCGAGGCAGAGGCTTTTGTCTTCTCAACTGGATGCTGTTAGATTCAACCCAGAAGCACTGGTGCAACAACTTAGGGGTCAAGTAACAGAGCCTCAAAATGCTGGTGAGGTAAACTTTCACTCATTTTCATACCAAGGCATCTGAAGGTAGGCTGGTTTAGATGACCTTCCAAGCCCCAGAGCCTCCCATCTATCTGTTCAACCATTTCAGAATGTGGCTTTTTATCCTCAACTTGTTGCTGCATGGTTCACAAAGTCTGGTCCCTAGTCCCAGCAGGTGGCTTGGGTAGGAAGTCAATTCTCAAGTTTCAGGTCAGACTCAGGAGTGAGGAACTCCGAGGTGGCCAGAGAAGGATGGCTCTATTTCCCTCCTCACTGTGATCCTTCTCTCTCTCCCTCTTTCCTCCCTCCCTCCTTCCCTCTGTCTCTAGCACTCTTTCTCTCTTTCTTTCTTCTTTCTTTCTCTCCTCTTTCTTTTTTCTAGTCCTGGTGCTAGAACTCAGGGCCTAGGTGCTGTCCCTGAGCTTCTTTTGCTCAAGGCTAGTGCTATAGTATTTGAGCCAGAGCTCTACTTCTGATCCTTTGGTGGTTAAATGGAGGTAAGAGGCTCATGGACTTTCCTGTCTGGGCTGGCTTCAAACTATGATCCTCAAATCTTAGTCTCCTGATTAGCTAGAATTGCAGGTATGAGCCTGGTTTAAAAAAATTTTTTTTGAGGGCTGGGAAGGTGGCTCAGTGGTAGAGCGCTTGCCTTGCATGCTCGAGGCCCTGGGTTCGATTCCTCAGCACCACATAAGCAAAAAGAAAAAAGCCGGAAGTGGCGCTGTGGCTCAAGTGGTCGAGCACTAGCCTTGAGCTAAAGAGCTGAGGGATAGTGCCCAGAGTTCAGGCCCCACAACCGGACCCAAAAAAAAATAAATTTTTTTTTTGAAAGTCTTGGGGCTTGAACTCAGGGCCTGGGCACTGAGTTTCTTTGGCTCAAGGCTAGTACTCTACCTCTTGAGCTACAGCGCCACTTCCAGCTTTTTCTGTGTATGTGGTACTGAGGAATGGAATCCAGTGCTTCATACATGCTAGGCAAGCACTCCACCACTAAGCCACATTCTCAGTCCTTCTTTTTTCTCTTTTGGTGATATTGATTTCTTTCTGGTCTTGAGAAGCCAAAACATATTCATATTAAATCACAGAAGGAAGCCCTTCCTTCATTCCACTGAGGGGACAAATGAGGCCTAGAGAAGTTAAATCTTTGCAAAGTATTTTCAGAGGGTAGAACTTCTCCTTCCTGCCCAGTCCATGCAGAGGCACAAGGGAGTACCTAATCTTAGGTTGAAATTACAAAGTAAGATGTAAAATCCAGCTACCCACAAGTGGCTCATACCTGTAATCCTAGCTACTCAGGAGGCTGAGATCTAAGGATCTCAGTTCAAAGCCAGCATAAGCAATAAAGTTTGTGAGACTTGTATCTCTATTAGCCACCAAAAAAGCTGGAAGTGGAGTTGTGGCTCAAGGACAGAGCTCTAGCCTTGAGTACAAAAGTTCAGAGACAGTGCCCAGGCCCTGAATTCAAAGCCCAGAACTGGCACACAAAAGATGTATAATCTAGTTCTTCAGTCATACTACTGTTCAGTGTTGCAAGAACATGTGGCTGGAGCCATAGTCCTAGACATTTTGGCTCCTATTCCTCTCCAGGTTTGGGGAAGAAATGAGTGTGCACAAATCCAATTCAGAGCACGTCATCTAGGCCAGGAACTGCATAGAGAAGCCAGTGTGTAGGTGGCAGGATTATCACACAAGTTCCAGTGGGTCCTGGCAAGCCTCAGGAAAATTCAGCTATGAAGATGAGCTTCCACTGAGGTAAACCTGCTCTGTTTCATGCTGTCTCCGGTTCCAGTCTCCCTTCTTGCTGTATCCCAAGGACAGAAGTCAGCCCCAGAAGTTCTCTACCCACAAGGAAGATGCCCCAAAGCAAGACCTGTCTGGGGAAGGGTAGGGCTGTGGTCCCCAGAAATGGTGGCTGGTCCTCACAATGGTCACCCAGACACTTGGAAATGAACCAGAGACCAGGCACCTAGGAAAGTTAAGCATACTGGGAAGAAACTCCCAAAGGAAGTACCAGAGACCCTGTTCTTGGCTGGAGCTGCACAGTTGAGCATCTTTGGAGAAGAGATGAGCAAGGAAAGGGCCAATTTTTGCACTTGAAAACATTAAGAGGGCTGGGAAGGTGGCTCAGTGGTAGAATGCTTGCTTGGCACACATGAGGCCTTGGGTTTGATTCCTTAGCACCCCATAAACAGAAAAATCTGGAAGTGGTGCTGTGGCTCAAGTGGTAGAGCATTCACCTTGAGCTGAATAGCTGAGGGGCAGCACCCAGGCCGAGAGTTCAAGCCCCACGACCCACAAAAGAAAGCAAGAAAGAAAGAAAGAAGGAAAGAAAGAAAGAAAGAAGGAAAGAAAGAAAGGAAGGAAGGAAGGAAGGAAGAAAGGAAGGAAGGAAGGAAGGAAGAAAGGATAAGAAAAGAAAAAGGAGGAAGGAAATATCAAGAGCAGAGCTTCTGCCGTGGCTGGTTGCTCTGAAGGCAGTGGGAAGGGCTGTTAGAGGAAAGGCCTCAGAAGGCCCCAGAAGGCTGTAGGTTGGGCAGCCTAGAAGCTAGTCCCAAAGACCAGAAACAGACCAGTACCCTAACAACCAGAGGCTCGGCAGGCACCTCACCTACATTTTTGGGCCTAAGTCCCCCAGGCTGGAAGGGAAAACTGTTCTGCACCTTTCTCAATCAAAAGGAAGTTTACTCTGGAGTAAAAGGGTGTTTTCATAACAAAGCCTGGAGGGGTGGGGGACTCCGACCCCCGCCCCAGGGCGGGGGTTAGGGAGCTGCCTTCCCCCACCCTCCCCTTCCCTGGGGTGAAGAGGGACCAGCCCTGGTGTTCATGCCTTCTGGCTGTGTCCTCAGCTTGAACCACAGGTTCCCATCTCAGAGCCTGGGGCAGGGGCGCGCTCTGCGGTGCCTCCTCCTGAGTGTCTTCATCTTGGTAAGACAGGAGTTAGACGTGAGCAGGGGTCTCCACGCTGCCCAGGCTGAAATGGATCGGTCTTCACATGCTTGCAGGCTCCCGGACACGGGTGGACGCCGGTCAGGCTCCGCACAGCCCCGTGGGCCTGGGCGAGGGCCCGCGCCGCTGAGGGCCGCACAGCCAAGCCCAGGCTCGGCGCCTCTGGGAGCCCGCAGCTCCAGGCCTTCCGGTGGCCGCGGCTTCGCTGCCCGGCGGGCCTGGGGCCCGGAGCAGCCGGGGTGACGGGCGCGGGCCTGGGGCCCGGAGCAGCCGGGGTGACGGGCGCGGGCCTCGGCGGGCCTCGGGCCGGGAGCAGCCGGGGTGACGGGCGCGGGCCTCGGCGGGCCTCGGGCCGGGAGCAGCCGGGGTGACGGGCGCGGGCCTCGGCGGGCCTCGGGCCGGGAGCAGCCGGGGTGACGGGCGCGGGCCTCGGGCCGGGAGCAGCCGGGGTGACGGGCGCGGGCCTCGGCGGGCCTCGGGCCGGGAGCAGCCGGGGTGACGGGGCGGCGGCGCCTCTGCCGTCTGGAGTCGAGGCCCAGGGGACGTGCGGCGAACGGGGGCCTCGGGCCCCGCGCCCTCCTCCGGCCCGGGCCGCCCGGCCGCGCGTGCGGTGGCCGGCCCCGCACCTGAGCTGACCGGAAGCCGGCAGCGCGCGGGGCCTCCACCTCGGCCAGACGCCACGCTCTGGGTCTGAGAGTTCGTGGGTCGGGCCCGGCTGTCCCCTGCGCGGCGATGACGCCCCGTGGGCGCCGAAGCCCCGGGCCCGGAGGAGGCGGTGGGCCCGAGCCCCTGGAAGGCGGGAAGCCGAGGGGGCCACCGCGAGCTTGCCGCGGGTGGCCGGCGCGGTGGGCGTGGTCAAAGGGGGCGGAGCTGCTCGTCAAAGCCGCGGCGTCTGACCGCAGGGGCGGGGCCTGTGGCGAGGGGGAGCTGGCCGGAGCGGAGGGGCAGGGCCTGATTTAACGGGGTGGAGCGATTGGCTGATGGGCGTGGCCAGGTCTGGATGGGCGGGGTTCCGCGGAGCCGCCAGGACGAGGAGGGGCCTGAAGGTGGGGGCGTGGCCAGGTAGATCGCGGCCCGGTCCGTGGGGCGGAGGCCGGGATGAGGTTCAGGGAGGAGGACCGCGTAGGGGGCGTGGCCTTGCGGTGGGGGCGGGGTCACACGGAGTGAGCGGAGCGGGACCCAGCCGGAAGGGCTGGTCAAGGGCGGGGCCTGGGTGGGGCGAGGCCGGGCGGGCGGGCTTCTGCAGCAGCGCCCACTTCCTCTGGAGCTTCGGCCTGGCGGAAGTGCGTCAGTTGTTATCCGCTCCGGGCACCGCTGCTCCCGCGGCTGCCTCACGATCCCGACGCCCGGGAGCTCGGCCGCCCGCCGCCGCCGCCGCCCGCCGCCCACCATGGGGCGCTGCCTCCGGGGCCCGGCCGAAGGCCCCTGAGCGCCGTCCGTCCGCCAGCGCGTCGGGCCGGGGGCCCCAGGCCGCGCGGCGCCCGGGGCTGAGAGCCCGCGCCCGGCATGCCCGGCCCGGCCCTCCGTCCGGCCCGGCCCCGAGCCCGCGCGGCGACCTCGCAGCCCGACGGCGCGGCGTAGCAGGCGGCGCGGGGCGCCAAGGTCACCGCCGCGGTGCCGCCATGGAGGCCAAGGTCCGGCCGAGCCGGCGCTCGCGCGCCCAGCGGGACCGCGGCCGGCGCCGGGAGGCCGCCCGCGACGCCCGTGCGCAGAGCCCGTCGTCGGGCGACGAGCCGGAGCCCAGCCCCGGCAAGGAGAACGCGGGTCTCCGCGGCGCGCCGGCCCCGCGCCCCGCGCCCCGCGCCGCGCGGCCCCCGAGGCGGCGACGCCGAGAATCCAGCTCGCAGGAGGAGGAGGTCATCGACGGCTTCGCCATCGCCAGCTTCAGCACGCTGGAGGCCCTGGAGGTAGGTGGGCACGGGGGAGCCCCAGGCCGCGCGCCCCAGCCTCGGCCGGAGGAGTCCCGCGGCCCCGCCGCCCGAGCCGCCCCTGGGGTGGCGTTGTTGCCTGCTGATCTCTGCGTCCCCAGAGCGCGGGGCAGCTCGGCCGAGTGGGCTGGGGAGGCGGTGACTCCATGACCACTTGGGATCCTCCCGTTGAGCCCCCCTGGCTCTGTTCGGACTTCTCTTGTTGGGCTGCCCGCTGCCGGGAAGTGTTAGACGGGTGAAGGCTGTTGGTGTCTGGCTGAATTGTCCTGGACGATACTTGCGGAGCACATACCAACTGCCCATCTTGTCTGAACTCGGGTGGGCGGGAAAGGAAGTGAAGCGCTGCCAGGAAGATAGCAAGCGGGATGGGAAAGGAGCTGCTGTGTCCCACAACTCAGGTGGGCCGACATGCTGCCAGGCCCTGGGACACCTCGAGGCCTCTTCCTGCCCTGCTGGCCCCCAGGAACGCAGAGACCTCCATCTGGGTGAATACTTACTCGGGAGTCCTGCTGGGCTTTGGGGACCAGGGATCACTGTCCAGCCCTCCTCACTCCCTGGGGGCCTGGCAGGTGGCCAGGGATTCCAGTTTCCTGGGTAAGCTTTGGGGAAGGGATGATGCTCACTTCATGTCCCTAATGGAAGTTCTTGCCAAGCTCAGGCCGACTCTGGAGTCTTGCGGGGTCTGTAGAGAGCCACAAGATTAGGTGTGACAGTCTCGGGGAGTAATCTTGGGACCACGTTGGCACTTTCTGTCTAGACAGAGATGTGAGGTGCCTGTGAGTGGAGGACCAAGCAGGGTCTAATAGCTTGCACTCTCCATGCTATCCAGTGGTCTACACCGTGCACACCTTGGAAACGAGAGGGGTCCTGGACACACAAACCAGGGGTCCTGGGATAATCGGTGGGATAGCCCATCTCCAGTATTGACCCGCGCTGATCTGAACTGAGGAAAAAATGGCCCAGGGTTTTCTGCCTTCATGATAATTATGGTGGGAATTTCCTCATATTATAGCCAGACCTTGTGCTCTTTCTCTGTAGCTTACAAGACTGCCAATACTGTCCCATGCTCCACATGTGGGACTGCATACCTGCCCCACCTCTTTTTTCTGCCAGGAGGGGAAAAAATAAAAACTAACCATGGCCCAAGCTTTGGACACTCAGCACTTTCTCACCCCTTCTGCTCTTCATACATTATTCTCTGTTGGGTGTCTGGCCTCACAGCCACCTCACTTACTGTCCTGTGCCTGAGTACTGTCTTCTGTGGTTGTAGTTTAGCCCAGGTGTTGCTTTGAACCTCATCTGGAGTATCCCTCCATCCCTCCCATCCCATGTACTTTGTTCCTTGTCATCCCCATTCTGTGACACAGCACTGGTGTCCCCTTTGCCTCTCTCTATGAGAGCTCATTAGCTGGAAGAAAATAGACTCTGTTCCTGTTTCCTGTCAGCTATCAGTGTCCAGAACAGAGCTCAGTTCATAGGGAGTACCTTGTGCACATTTATGCAGTGAGGGAGGGTGTGAGAGAGGAAAGGAATTGCCTTTCAGGAAGGCAGGCTACTACTGTCGAAGGTCAAAGCACATCGTCATGAGCTGAACCCATTTGGATTTAAGTGCTCTAGCGGGGCGGCTCACCTGCTCCCCAGGCTGTGGACAGTTGGCCTGGGGGACTTCTGCAGGCTCAGACCAGCCATGCTCCATGCCTGTCTGAGCTCACTTCAGAAAAGTACAGGACTTCTAGGCAAGTCACAATGTTCATTTTGGCCAGAGGAGGCTTGGTCGGCCTTGTTTCTTACTAAAGTATAGTGATTCCCTGTCCCCCCTCACCCCACAAGTCCAGATAATGCATAATCACATTAATTGTAATATCTGAGTCAGTGATATTCACTCTGCCAGTCCATTTTTATCAACATGAATTTATTTATCTTTCAAATGACCCTAAAAGGAGGCTGGTCAGCCTCACTCCACAGATGGGAACATTGAGTCATAGTGCGTTGAGTGCTAAGTACACAGCCTGCACAGTCAGTGTGTGCTCCCTGCGGCACGCATGTGGGAAACTCAGAAGGAAGATGCCGGCTGCATGCCCAGGGGCCACAGTCACTCCACTTCAGGCCTAGGGGCTATTCTAACCTGTTGGTACTGTTTGAGTATAGCCCCAAAGGCAGCTCATCCAACCTTTCCAGGGACAGCGATAGGTACACAGCCGCAAAATAGCAGGTCAGATCTAGGAGAAGTGAGTCTTATGTATAGAAGTGTCTGTTGCCTTTGAGCTGAGTGGGTCAATACAAGCCCCTTCTTATGCAGGCCCCTTGCTCCGGGTTCCTTGAGCCCACATGGCCCTCATCCCTCTCCATACACCTGTGTTTGCCCTGTAGGGGGAGCGGTCCCTTTGTACTTGAGTGGAGGCCAGCAGGAGCTCCCCCAGTGTTATGGCAGAGGTTGTCAGCTGAGGGGGCCTAGGGTGGCAGTTTAGTTACCCACTGGCTCAGATCAGAGTGTTCATGGTGGTGGTACTGAGGATATGTTTGCAGGTAGATTTCACAGGTGCTTTGCAGGCCTGAGCCTCGTCCCTTTAGACCTTCTCCGTTAGGGTAGGAAGGTAATTCAGGACTAAAGTAAGGAAACAGGGACACTTGGCCAGTTTGTCCCTCTTTCCTGTGACAACTGTGTCCTAGTTGTACTGACAAGAGGTAACTGAGGGCCCCTGCTCTCCTCTCTCCCCAGGCAGTGGGAGTGAACAGCTGGAGCAGCCATTGCTCCTGCCTAGGGAGCACTTGTGCTAAAAGGAACTCCTAGGTTGTGCCAGACAAAAGGAGCTGACCTCAGGCCACAGAACGGGTTATGCTGGTACCTGTATCCCCTGGGAGGCAGGCCAAGCCCTGCTTCCAGCCCCAGGCAGACTTGTATCTTCCAGGCTGACTGGTCCTACATAGTGCCTCTCCCCGCCCCCCCACCCCCCCCTCCCCGCCTTGATTCACAGTGCTGTGATCCAAGCAATGGGAGGCAGCCATTGCTTGGGAGTACTTCTGCTACTGGCCTGGATAGAAACTACCTTCTAGTTTGACATTCCTGTAATTGTTTCTTAAAATTTTTTCTTCTTAATTGTTCTATTTCAACCAGCAGACTAACTCACCTGATTCAAAAGTGAAACTGTGGAAAGATGGATGAAAAGGTGACTTTGAGACACCTCCATAGAGTTCCTGTGTGGGGACATAGCCAGGTACAGCTGTACTCCTTCCACTTAGGGAAGGAGTCATTTCCTGTATCCTTGTACTGGGGGTAAAGTTGGAAAGGAAAATGCCTAAAATACTAGCTGTAGTGCATTTATGTATCTCTCCATTCTCAGGTCAGTATGTTACTTTGATAACCCACAAAAATCAGCACAAACCTCAAGAATTCCACATTAGCTGGATGTCAGTGGGTCACGCCTGTAATTCTAGCTACTCAAGAGGCTGAGCTCTGAAGATTGTGGTTCGAAGCCAGCCTGGGCAGAAAAGTCCCTGTGAGACTCTTATGTCCAATTAACCACTCAAAATCCGGAAGTGGTGCTGTGGCTCAAGTAGTAGAGCGCTAGCCTTGAGCACAAAAAGATTCAGAGACAGTGCCCAGACCCTGAGTTCAAGTCCCACAACTGACCAAAAAAAGAGAAAGAAAGAGTTAATTCCACATTAGCCTTTCCAACATGCATCCAGTCCCCACTTCAAGTCTGTCCTGGATGAGCTGGCTCAGGCTGTGACTAGCAGAGCTTATCATCCAGCAGCAAACGGGGTGCAAGCCAGGAGCCCACAGGTTCTTGAGGGGCTGCTGAGATTTGGAGGTGCCCTCCCTGGGCTGCGTTCTGGAGGTTCTGGGGGTGGGTGCTCTGAGGGGATGGTACACTGGAACCTGGCCATCCTACATGGACAGGAATGGAGCTGCAACATCAGGGTATCTGGGCTCATTATTAGTGAGGAAAGCTCTGGCAAAGGGCTGTTTTCCATTTAGGAATCTCAGTCTCCTGATCTCTAGGTGGGGAAACTGAGCCCCGTGAGGCAGTGTGCTTTGGCCACAGTCATGGAACTGCAGCCTACAGCCTTGCACAACCCAACCAGAGGAGCTGTTAGCCTCAGCCCCTTCAGAAAACCACAGTGGGTAGAGACTGGTCCCTGTATGTGTGTGTGTGTGTGTGTTAGTCGTGGGACTTCAGTCTGGGCCTGGGTGCTGTCCCTCAGCTCTTCAGCTCAAGGCTAGAGCTCTACCACTTGTGCTACAGCGCCACTTCCGGTTTTCTGGTGGTTTATTGGAGATAAGAGTTTTACGAGCTTTCCTGCCTGGGCTGGCTTTGAACCGTGATCCTCAAATCTCAGCCTCCTGAGTAGCTAGGGTTACAGGCGTGAGCCACCAGCACCCGGCTGGTCCCTTTTGAGAGAGTAAATGGACATGGCATGTAAAAGCCAGAGCATCCCTGGTCTCTAGATGGTCATTAATGCCCACCACACCCTGAGCAGCCATGTAGCACCAGATTCCCTGTTGGAGCCTGCAGCTCTTGGCCTGACTTGGCTAGCACTGTGGTAGAACAGGGCCTGCACCTGCTCTCTCCCCCCCCCCCCTTCCCTATGGCTCCCCAAGAGGTCTCACTCCCCCCCCCCCCCCCCCCCCCCCCGTGTGCACTGCATCCCCAGCAGCCCCCTGCCCTGTGTTGCAGCCTGACTTCTTGGGCCTATCACCTCTTGTCTGGGGTTTCCAGAGCTTGCTGGGTCCCTACTGTGGCCACACTGCCTCCTTATGGTTCCTCCTCACACTTGGGCCTTGGAATTGGTCTGCTGTGCCCTGAAGGTTCTTTCCCCAAGCGTGCCTGTGAGCTGCACGCCTGACTTGACTGCCTGTTCTACTTGAACTCTTCCTGTCAGGCCGTGGTTGCCTGGCAGCAAGCAACTTTCTGCTGTGTCCAGGGGACACTTCTGTTTGTAGAGGGGAGGGTACTGTGTTGCAGATACAGAAGCTC